GGAAATTATTGAATCCTTTAAACTCCTAGAGCGTTACTGCAGTAGAGTCCTGGCAAGAAGCAGACAATGTTATCAAACTAGGTAACTTAAGAGAATTTAATAAACAGTCATTTTTTATTTAGGTGTGGGCAGAGTGTAGGAAGTCAACAAGGGATCATTATTTCTCCTAGGCTGAAAAGGGGCAGGGGAGAGCAGGGCTGGGAACCTGGAGAGGGGAGTTATGTGGAAAAGGCTGTGACAGGAGCTATAGGCTTTGGTAGAAAGATTCCACCAGTCCATGGAAACTAGGCAGGAAAGTAGAGGGGTACAAGTAGCCTAATCTCTTCCTCTAACCCTCTTATCTCTAGCCAAGAGGGTAAAAGAGGCTGTTGGTCTAGTCCTCAGAGGTCAGCTTCATGAGGCAAGAACAGGGTGGAGATAGGTAGGGAGGAGATGTAGAGGGGCAAACAAAAACATAGATGGTATGATTACTAAAGACATATTTCTTGGCTGTGGTCAGGGTCAGTCTCTGTTGTGACTCACAGATGAAGTCTCTTTATCTGTGCTTCATAGAGTATTTTAGCTAGCTTGGTTATAACTCTGCACCATTATGCCATATTATTAACATATATGTCTCATTCTTGCTATATTGTGAGCTTCCTGAGAGCAAGGGCCATGTCTTATTCATCTTTATACATGCAGTGCCTATGTTCTTGGCCCACAGTAGATGATTAATGAATGCTTGTGGGATTATGAAGATATGAAGTCATTGGTGAACAATTATCAAAGTCCTATAAATAAATTGGGTAATATGGGCATAAGCAAATGTACAACATTCTTACTGCTTTCTAAGACATTCTATTACATACGGGCTGATAGATTTAGAAGATATGCTTACCATTGCTACAACTGATCTCCTGATACTATGAAAATTTGATGTTTTACTTTCATTTGCTACTTAAAGGTCATTAGTTTCCAGTTGTACTACACATTCCATTTAATGAGCACTAGATTCTATCAACAGAGAAGGAGGAACTGTAAATCAGGGCAAATGAGACCACTCAGAGCTACTAGTCATCAAACTCGGTTGGCTGTCCGCATAGTCAATGACTTTGGGATAAGATGGGATGCTTTACCTTCGTGACATTGTCACATGTGTGTGGTTCTGGTTGCCAAACAGGGAGTAGAGTGTGCTCAGTCTATTAAAAAACTGTTTTCTTCTGTTTTACTTTTTGACATTTTCAAAGCGTTAGATAACGATAAACGTAGTCAGCTTGTTGTATGATTGTTTTGGTTGACATAGAGTCATATGCTGAAGAATCACAGGGACTGACAGTTAGGGGAAAAATGTAAATGTCATAATTTTGTTAATTGCTTTAGCATGTGTTTCTTCCACATGTCTGAAAGCAAATGTAATTGAGGGTTGTGGTTTCTGGGGCATGGCTAAAAGTACAATGTGACTAACAACTGAGGAAAATATCATGGGATATCATGTGGTAGAGGATCTGTTATCTATTTTTTTCCCCCTGCTAAAGTAAAGATTTTCCAGTATTTAAGGATGTTACTAGAGTATAACAAGAAGAATGATACAAATTGAATCTTTGGATTGGCATTTTTTATCAGATAAAAACAAACATATAAAATGCAGTTTTAAGTTCAGTGGCTATTTCATTCCATCCTAGAGTTTTCTATGTCAAAAAGTGGATTTGCGAACAAGAAAACAGCTCTTTCAATTCTTTTTTTTTTATTGCATTTTAGGTTTTGGAGTACATGTGCAGAACATGCAAGATAGTTGCATAGGTACACACGTGGCAGTATGTTTTGCTGCCTTCCTCCCCTTCACCCATAAGCCCATTCAAAAATGGGCAAAGGATATGAACAGACACTTTACAAAAGCTCTTTCAATTCTTTAAACATTTCAGTGATGATAAGGGTCTTTCTCAAGCAAACAAATCTCAGGAAATTCAAATACTAGTATGAAACCATAATCTCCCTTCACTTTGTTGCTTCAAAGCGTAATAACTATTGAAAACTCCTGAAAACCAGTGGGTGATCTGACCCCAAGGCTTCATATATTATTTCTTATTTTTATGACAGGAATTTCACAATTTCAAGGCAAGGTTAAAAAACAGTCTATTTTCTCTCTTAAGCAAGTGATCAGGTTTCTTTATGAACAAAGCAAAAGGCTGAGCTCACACGAAGCGCTCTTGAGATCATCCTGGTTTGGGATAGACTGCAAATGCTATTAGTATATTTCCTGGTATTTTAGATGCCTGTGAATTGCACAGTAATGAAATCTTTGAACAGGGAGCATCTGGTAGCCAGAGCCCACAAAGACTTTCCCATATTATGCAGAACATGCTAGTTTTGAGACGGTTCTCTCACTGTTTCATACTATTTATTTTTCTTTTTATTTCCCCACATTTGGGAGTCACAAATATTTTTGTCATATTTATCACTGACTGTACACAGGTGACTAAACTGGTCATCTGCAGGTCCAGCAGGTTGTGACAAGTGACTGGGTGATGTATATTCCCCTTTCACTCCCGTATCCAATACTCCACCCCGTCTCTGCCCGCTAGCCTCATAACTGCTGACTGTAAACTGCAGAAGCAAATGGAAAGCCTGGTCTACCAATGGACTGAGGGGTGTTGGAACTCAGAAAACAATACCCCCAAATGAAGTACTCAGAGAAAAAGTTTTTCTCTGACCTTCTCCTGCCCTCCTGTTTCATAGTTCCATTCTCCCCAGAGGACTGTCATAGAAACTAGAATCTCTTTTCTACCAGTCAGGTCATAGAAACCAGAACCCCTTTTCCCCAAAGCCAGCCAAAAAACCTGAAAATATTACTTTAAATTTCTCCTCACATCTTTCTGTGTAAAAACTGGCCATAAATTATCTGATATACCTTGTTTGACTGTAGGTCATAAAATCCCTATTCCAGAGAGGGTCCTATCTCATACCCAGAAGGTAGTCATACATACGTAGAGAGGTCAAGAAAAATCCAGACAGGCCTTGCTGGGATTCCTCACTCGACCTATTAGCATTAGATCATACCCTTCTTGTCTAATCATATTTCTACACAATCATCCATACTTTGTTTAACCTAGGAATAAAATAAACAATTTCTTCTGTATGTGTTGGGTCTCTATTCTGAAGTTGTTTGTGTATGCACATTAAATAAATGTGTAAGCCTTTTCTCCAATTAATCTACCGTTTGCAAGTTGATTTTTAAAGAAACTTCAGAGGACCAAGAGGAAAGCTCTCCTTTGGCCCCCGCAAAGGAAAGGTTCTAATGTCTTATTGAGAGTAATGTCAGATAAGAAAATCAAACTAGAGGGCAAAGGAAGAGAGGGAAACTAGAACAGGGGTTCTAGCTTTTTTAGGGAACTGAGTAAGGTCTGTGAATGGCCTGAAATATTATCCAGATACCTGCTTGTATTAGCCCATATACTATTAATTTTTTTTCCTGAAAAGAGAGCTAAAACATACATTAAATTAAAAAATGGTTTGGGCAACACAAAGTTTTAATATTGATTATTGTCAAGAAAGCAAGTTTAGTTAATTGTTTTATATTTTAAAAATCCAGGAGAGAAGGAGGAATGATGGAAGTAAAAAATAATACAGGTAGGATAAATACGAAGAAAATAGGCACTAGAGAGACACTAGCATTTTATTTCCTTTACCAGTTACCTAATACTTGGTCTGGTGAAATGGGATCTGGGAATAGACACCATTTCTACCAGACAATATGCATCTGTTTTAGAGATGAGACAGTGAGGGCATAGAGAAGTTGAACAATGTATGCCAGTTCACTGAGCTAGTCAGTATCAGACAGCCAGCTTTGGGGGCTGTGCTGCTCTTAATTACTCCTGGAAACCAACAAGCTCTCTTTCTCTTTCTTGACATTTTTTACAAACTATATTTTGTATAATCTGGAAGATAAAGTTACATGCCAAAATATTATCTCTGGGTGTTGTGATTATAGGTGATTTGACATTTTATTCTTATCAGCATTTTATCATAGTTATAATAAACATGCCTGAAGTATATAATAAAATAGTTTTAAATAACTGTCACCTTTCTAAGAAATCTGTTATGTTGTTAAATCCCTCAGAAGCAACCACATTTCTACTGACCACAGGGTATCATCAAGCAAAGGCTGTAAGAGACTTGGAAGAATTTTATATTAATTTATAATGTCCACTGCCATTATAATAAAATGTGGCTTGTTCATAACAACTAGTGATATTACTTGATAAAATAAGTGAATAAAACACAATCATATCAAAGAATAATTTCAGTATAAAATTATAATATTTGTTCATCTAAATATATGTTGTTCATCTAAATTAATATCCATTAACATATTTCCTGGCTGTGTCTCCCTAGGCACAGTGAAAGAGATGCTCATGGCAACTTCTGCTTTAGAAACCTCCCAGGTAAAACTCATCATAGTGGTGATCTTCAGAGGCTGAGTCAGCCATTTGCTTATTTGCTGCAAAAGAATAAATACAACTGAGAAAAATTTTTATTTTTCCATCAGTTTATTTGTTTAGTCACTCTCCATAGAAGCTGAACAGTTCTCCTTTGAGGCCAGGGTCTTGGTTAGGATTCTTTATTTCCAAAGAAGGATCTGAAATTGAGTAAGTTTCTTCTTCCCCCAAATCCCAAAGTGTAGGATGCTCCCTAAACCAACAAACTCAGGATAAGGCTTTTAGGCCCTTCCTCTAGACTTAATTCTCCTTATAGACTCTGAACTCCTCATAGAAAGTGCAATCTTGGGTTGCCTCTAGGTGCTCTTCTGAGGAAGTGACCATTCGGAGGATTTTTGGAAGGCAATTTCCTAGGCACTCAAAGTCTCATTGATGCATTAGTTCTGATCACTGAAAACGTGGTACGACTTGGAACACATTATCTTGGCCTTATTTAGAAGTGTCTTTCTCCAGGCTCTAATGGTAGCTCTCAGTTCTTATCAAAGGATACCATAAAAAACACCTGCCCTCTGTCTGTGTTTCCAGGTGTCATCTACTACTTAGACCAGAAGATAGGATGCAAAATCTCAACGGAGGAATTTCTTACAGAATGCAATTGCACTAGAAAAGACAATCTTGCTTGAAGTGAGTTGTTTCTTTTTCTCTAGTGATAAGAATACTTATGGATGGTGAGGATGGGGTTGAATGTCTCCAGGGGCAGGCAGTATGTCTTTCTACTAAAATTATCACAGGGTTGTCAGCGTTCCCGAGTTGATCAGACTCGCGGAGACTGACTCACTCTTATCAAGCTCTTCAGAGTCTAACTCGTAATCTGGAATGCCAATATCTTCCATCTGGGGTCTGCTTTTCCTGCTGTATTTAGATTTGCTGAGGAAACATATGAAGCAGAGCCAAGAGGGATGAATAATTTAAAGAAAAATTTCTTACAGAACCTAGGACCCAGTACATTATTCCAGCCAGAAAACATGCATTTCCTTTTCATTCAAGAACAAATTTTTCTTTTTCTTTCCAGGACAGTGCTAGATAAAACTGCCAGCTTCAATGGCACAATATATATATGAAATACATATATATGTATTATTTCTGTCACAACTGACAGATCACACTGTTACGGATTTTATGAATTTAAAATTCAGAGAGCAAAATTCTTTCAAGATTGGGGGTTGGGAAGTACACATCAGTGTTTTCCTCATTATAAAAAAGATGATGTAACATTTCATCTCTTGTTGTTTCCAGTGCCAAAAAAACAAAAACAAAATACAACAAGAATGCTACAAGGAATAAAAATTTGACCATTAAACTACACAGACTTTAGAGTTCCCATATTTTTGATATTTATCCCAATGTGGCCTTAAATATCTATTCTCAGATATATTTCTCAGACTATAATTTTATTTAGTCTTTCACCTTTTTTATTATAATCTTTTCAAATCATCTGTGGACAGAGGTAAGGCAAAGAACCCAAGATTCAGACAAACAAGCACACAAACCAGCCATTTTCCCAATCTCTCTCTTTCATATATGAGTTTTCTATGATCTATTGGCTAAAAACAGAAGTACCCACTTATTCAAGTTTTCTGCTGGTCAAGTGAGAGATACCATAAATTTTATAGTAAAATATAATTTAAATTTGAAGAACATTATTGGAAGCCAAATAATGCTCAGTAAATGTAGTATGGTTAACAAAATATTTTAACTGAGTTATTAATGTTAGGTATAAATCATATATATTTCATGTAACATGCATAATATATATTATAGATAAAATATGTAGGGGTGTGTGTATGTGTGTGTGTGTATGTGTGTGTGTAGTATAAATAGATCTTAAGCTAAGATCTACACAGATTTTGCATTTGTTCCAGACAATGAATCATTGGTGAGAGCGGGGAGAAAACTAATCCTTTGGACTTTTACATTCTGGTTTCATTTCTAAATAATTAGAGGTCTAAAATATTAAGCAGAGATACATATGATACTCTATGTTCTGTGTAAATCAAACAAATAAAACAGTATGTGGTCTACATATACATAAATTCTTATATTCCTTGTTTTGTTGCCAATTTGAAATAAAGAAGGATACATTCCTTATGGCTCATGTATATAAACGTTAACTTCCTCTTGCTGCTTCTATTTCTCTAAGAGTCTCCAGTCTCTATTTCTAGAAGCTTCTTGAAGAAGGCATTAGGAATAGATAATTCATTACATCCATTTCCAAGTATGAATGTGTGAAACAGGGAAGAGCTGATGACCTAATACTGTTAACAAAAACGAAACACCACATGTTTAATCCCATTTTGTTTTCCTATCACAGGAAACTGGGGAGGGAATTAAGTTTCAGCAGGGAAGAACAAAGGCAGTTTTTGGGGATTTACATATGCCATCTCCTACAAAGTTAAAAAATATTTCCTTTCCTGAAAGACTACAATAAAGACACAAACATGCACAATGGGTGGAGTGGATTAACAAGTTTGTGTCATGTTAATTATATATATTTCAATAAAGATATTTTTGGAATTGGTTTTATGGATGTAAAAAATAAATTACAAGTTAACTAAATTATATTGAGGATGCATAGAACTTTGGAAATAATTATAGATGTAATCAGCCATTTGAAAATAAAATGAATCCAATTAAACATGAATGATGAAACACGGGGGCAGAAGGTCTCCATCTTGATGCTCTTTTCTTAATCCATTCAGACCACTGAGGACTCAGGAACACTAGTCCAGTACCTGAAGATAAGGCTAGGCTCACTTTCCTGGAAAAATCATTCTATAATTTGATAGCTTGAATTAATGGAACAACAATATCAATGAAGAATATTACATTTATTTCTTTTCTTATGGTTACGAGTAGTCAGTGCAGTAATTTAGAGGATTTTTCAGGGCTGATAACTGTCCTTAGAATCTTAGGGCCCATCCATGTTCTTTGTGTTTCCTCTTCTGGCAAAACAAACCTGTGACGAACAAGGGCTGCCTGTTGGGAAAAAGAAGTGGTAGAATGGTGGGGATGTTGGTAGGAGAGGGTTAAGTCTGGGCAGTATGACCAACGTTGCCCATTTCTAAAGTCAGATGGGCATAGATTCACATTCCAACCCTGCCACTTACAAGTTGTGCAATTTTGACCAGTCTTAGAAAACGAAAACAAAAACAAAGAAACATGCTATTCCCATTCCTTCAAACTTCACATTTTTTTAGATAGCAGAAGGGAGAATTGTTTCTTCGTCCTGAATTGTTGACCAACAACACCAACAACGATTCAGAATGTAAAATATACTCGGTGTTTATGTGCTGCAGAAAACCTTCCCTGGGGTGCTAGCTCCTGAAGAGCTGAAACTATTCAGGAAAATATCACTAAGCAAAGGAAGTTAAGATATCATTACCATACTGTCGTCATCAATACATTCAGGAGTTGATCTGCATTTGGTAAGGCATCTGTCTTTCCAGATTTAACACAAGCCACCCTGGCAGTGGAAAAAAAAATAGAAAACACCTGGATAACGAAAAGGGCCTAGGCAGTCCTTTGTAATTCTTCAGACAGGGCCATCTGTATGCGACTTTGCATACCCACAATGCTATAATGAATAATTAGCACTGATTAAAAAGGCATGAGAAACCTTTCTAGTGCAATTTCTGTAGAGGAATTGTGGTTTCCCCAGACACTTCTGAGGAAGCCAGAGTTCACGAAGTGCTCCCACTAAGCCCCACACTGACCCCAAAATTGAACTGTGACAAAAAGTAAATTTTCTTCTAAAGAAAAAGAGAGTTGAAGGATAAAAATATTTTTTCTCCCAACTGATAACTTTGAGTACTTAATATGTTCAACGCTCTGTGTTAGACCATCTGGGAAGTATGGCCTGTATAAAACTTAACTAGTGGATGTGAAGGGGCCCAACAGTAATTTTAATTCCAGGTAGAATGAGGGTAAGCATGAGAGGTTGGTTAGAAGTTCAAAGATGGGACCAGGAGGTGACCTCTTAGAATAAGAGCATAGGGAAGCTTGAGGAAGTCAGTGGCACTTGAAGTAGACCTTGATAGATCATAAAATTTTGAGAGAGGAGTGGAAGAGGAAAGATAAAGTAAAGACTTTCTTAGTTGAAAGGAACAGTGTAAAAAAGGTTAAGTTTTGCTCCCTTGAGGGGATATTGCATCCACAGAAAATGCAAGGGATCAGAGACAGATTAGGGTAGGGAGAAGAAGGTAGAGAGTTAAGAGCAATCAAGATAGATGCAGTTGACTTTCCCTTAGGCTCTCACCATTTCCAGACAAGCATCTCCTACAATTTCCAACTGTAAGCTCTGAAATTCTGTGCCTGAGGCTTTCTGTAGCTGCAAGAATCTCTGCAGCTCATTGAAGAGAAGGCTAGAAAGGCGGAAGAGTTAATGACTTTTAGAGACAGACCTAGGATAAAATCACTCTTGTTCCCTTCTCCATAGTTTGAATAACTTTGAGAAGTGTTTAGCACTGTGTTCTAAGCAATAATGAGCATTAATTACCCTTGAGGTACCCGGTTTGACAACTTATCTTTTATTGGCTTTCTTCCCATCACCGCCATCCCCCTATTGACACTTCCTGAAATCATCTCCCAAATAAACTATTTTCACTCCCATCCCTGTCTCAATGTCTGCTTCTGGAGGAATGCCTTACCTGTGAATATTTCATATTTCAATTTTTTTTCTCCGTGTGTCATACTGGAGATCTTACTCTAGATCAGTTGTTCTAGAGTGATTTTTCTTCCCAGGGGAAAGAAAATGTCCTAAGGGACATTTGGCAATTTCTGGAAATATTTTTATTTGTAGGAGGTACCACCTGCATTTAGTGGGTAGAGAGCAGGAATACTGCTAAATATATTCCAGTGAACATGATGGTCTCACACAACAAATAATTATGTGACCCAAAATGTCAGTAGTGCCAAGGCTGAGAAATCCTTCTCTAGAAATCCTTATCCAGTTTAGATGACAAATTTGAAATCTTGAAATCTTTGTACTTTCCACTAGCCCTAAAATGCAGCAAACTACAAAGCTGTTTATTAAGAAATATTTAATGATGGATCAATAAGGAACAAAGAGATAAAAAGATATAATCCCTAAGTTTCTGCTTTGTCAGAAAACAGCAACATCTTATCACTAGAGAGCAAATATCTGACTCATCTGCCTGATTATTTGACAAGTATCCTGTAGAGTCACGTTCATTGAGAAGTGATCTTGTTTCCATCACTGGCAAGATACTCTATTTTCTTATCTTCTTTAATTTCCTTCATAGCGTGTTTGCGCCTTGAGTAGCTGTTAAGATAAAGCAATCCAACATTATTAAGTCCTTGGTGAGCATTTACCATAGGAGTAACTTTGCAGAAAGATGTCTTTTCTAGTTTTGAACCCAATGAAGAGCTAGATACTGTTTGAATCAGATTAAAAAAACATAGATTAACATTATCCACCTCAAAAATCACAGCAAACAGCAGGTTACAAGCATATTTAGAGCCTTCTTGCTGAAGAGAATAAAGTTTTATTGCCAAGTGTAAAGGGGCGGATTTGATGACTGATAGAAAAATTACAGCGCTTTGTCAGTTCACCTAAATAATAATTCAGCAAAGAAATGTGTTGATGAGTTCAGTCTGGTTTGAATTTAAATTATAGTGAATCCTTGGGAAACAGCTGAAGTACCTGAGCCTCATTAAAAATCTCCAGCACCCTATCTAAGCATATAAACAATCCTTCTTAAGTTATATAACGAATATTATCCAAAATAGCAAGAATACTCATGCTCAGAGATTGAATAAAGGCTGGCTATATTTACCTTGAGAAAAACACATCTGGGTGCTGATGAAAGTCTGTTAAGTACCTCAAAAATTTGATCTGAGTTCGCTTCTGCAATAGATGCTCAACAAAGCAGATAAGGGGGTCAGATGAGTCTTTACCACAAAGAAAAATAACAAGGGTTGGTTGATCAACTTTCTCTGATAATTATTGTTCAGTGAGAAAAGATAAAATGTGATATTTTCTTTGGTAAGCATTACACCCTTGGGCCACCCCAATCCAAAGACCCTCTGCGCTGCTGATGAATTGATGGAATTTGACAAGTCATTGTGTGTATCTGGCAGCCAGGTGTCTTGGTGTGGGTGAGACAGGAGCTAACAGAGTTGATACATGGGAATATTACTCCCAGATGTTCTCCAAAGGGAAAGAAAAACTTTCTTTCAACAAGGACAACCTGTCCTTTCAAGATGAGTCCTATGCCATATGTGCTGCAGTTAGTTAGCTCTCTGAGAAGCAGCAAAGCATCATGGATGCCAATTTGCCAGGAAAACAAATAAGCATTTCTAATGGGTTCTGTCCTATTTCTTAGGAAAACCAGTGGCCTATGTCTGGAGGTCATTCAAGGCAAATGAAAGAAAGAAATTTTATGATGTTGGGGAGATAAAGAAGAAAGAACACAGTGAAGATGCATGGTGTTGATTTTAAACTGAAGAGAAACCTAACCAAGTGAAGCCCGTCACAGTCAGTTAGAGCCCTTGCTGTAAAAGCCTCTATGGAAAAAATACAACCAAAAGTTAATGTCTCATGCCAGTGCTCTAATATCTATAGCCTGTCAGGTCTCAAACTCTTTCATGTCAATTGGAACAAGTATTAGTCTGACAATATTTTTGTTTACATTTAAGAAACAAAGTTTTCAATATGAGTTGCATTAAGAAAGTTTTCTCAATTTGTCAATTTCACAAATTTTTTAGCATTCTTTAAGTTTTCTGAACTCAGTAATCCAATGTTTGTCTTCATAATTGATTTTATATTTCTAGATTACACATCCTGAAAGTGACACAAACAGTATGCAGAACTGCACTTACAAAATCCAAATCCATGGGTAATGGAACAGTTTAGGAAAAACACAACAGATATTGAATAAACACAGTTCATTCTATGTATATTTCAAGGGAAGAAACCTAAGTTGTGACTCTAGGGTCCTCTAGTACTCTATCCTGTAGACAGTATCTAATAGATAAGTTTGATTTACCTCTTTTTATGATCAAAATTTGTTTATTCATGCTATTAAATAATTGTTAATTATTTAATATTATTTATTAATAATATGTAATTATTAATTATTTAATATTCTATTAAAGAAAACTATCATTGCTTAACTGTCAGAAAATAAACAAATTGATACGCTTTTATTTCCCATTGCTGTTTTTAGCCTTCCATCTTCTCTAAAGCAGAAGAAAGATATAACTTTCTTCTGTGAAAAGCAGTTTCTATTGCAGGTTCTGGCTAAGATAGTCTGAGAGAATGCTGATAATATTTCAGTTCCTTCAGACTCATCATTTCAGGTTATATAAACCTACCTTTCTGTAAATTTTTGATACTATAGCAAAAAAATTATGTTCAACTCCTGAGATTTAAAAACCGGTAACCAATTTAACTCAAGCAGTATTACTTTTGCATTGTTCTGTATTAACATTTTTGCTAATTTATAAAAATATTCAAAAGCATTTATAATTTTCTTTCAGGGATGAAATATGATGGATTAACTTTGCCCATAGCAATCCCATTCATATATATTTACATATAAGATATATATATGGTATATACATACATGTATGAGATACACATGTATGTAAAAATGAATAGGATTCATTAAGATATATACATATATATATACATATATATATCTTAATTTAACTTTGAAGCTTGTGTCAGTTTTAAATTTATTGTCTTTCAACTCCAAATACATGCTTTCCTATTCTGCTTTATGAAAATGGAACTGGACCCTGTAAACTTTTCTTCTCTGCCAGTGGATATGACATTTGGCTTCGTTAATGGAAGACTAGTTCTGGTTGCCTACTTTTTAATTCAGTGTGGGAATATATCCGCTCCAGCCACATTTTCAGGTTTGGTTTTACCCAATCACAAGCAGCTTCTGAGAAGCTCTAGGGTCTTGGTAGCTTTGGTTGAGCCCTCAGACCACACCCTCTTTAAAGAAATCTGAATCTCATCTCAGTCTTGGGGAAATCCTACCCTAAGTGTCCAGTCAATTTTTTCTTTTTTTGCAACAGGATCTCACTCTCACCCAGGCTGGAACACAGTGATGTAAATATAACTCACTGCAGCCTCAACCTCCTGGATTCCCTGAGGGGAAACCCTTGCCTCTACATTTTTAATTTTTAAAAATTCCCTTTGGAATTTTATATAGTGATCCCTATTTCTGACAATGAAGAAGACACTGACATTAAGAATCTCATTCTTGAAAAGAAGCTTTTTTAAGAGAAAAAGACTTATAGACAAGCAAATTTTACTATTAGAGTATGATAGACATTGCCGTAGAAGAATGTATACAATAGTATACATTGGAAGAATGTATACAATGATACAATGATAGCACCTCATGTTGGATGGAATTAAGGGTGGGGATCAAACAGACTTTACAGAGAAGTTGTAAGTAAGCTGTGTCTTCAAGGCTGCAAAGAGGAATGGTCCATGTAGCTTAGGAAGGCAATGCAGACTGAGAAAAATGTTAGAAGATGTCAAGAAAACATGTATATAAAGCAAAACAAGTCAAACTTGAGAAATACCAAATAGTTCAGCACTGCTCTAATCTATAAGATGTGTGTGTGTGTGTGTGTATGTGTGTGTATTGTGGAATGTCAATGTAGTGAAGGGAGGTGGCAAACTTGAGAACAGTGCAAAATTAGCCTGGAGGGGTAGGCTAACTCCAGACTAGAAAGGACTTTCTATGTCATGCTAAAAAAATTTGAATTTCGGGGCCGGGTGTGTGGCTCACGCCTGTAATCCCAGCACTTTGGGAGGCCGAGGCGGGTGGATCGCGAGGTCAAGAGATCGAGACCATCTTGGTCAACATGGTGAAACACCGTCTCTACTAAAAATACAAAATATTAGCTGGGCACGGTGGTGCGTGCCTGTAATCCCAGCTACTCTGAGGCAGGAGAATTGCCTGAACCCAGCAGTGGAGGTTGCGGTGAGCCGAGGTCACGCCATTGCACTCCAGCCTGGTTAACAAGAGCGAAACTGTCTCAAAAAAAAAAAAAAAAAAAAATTTGAATTTCATTTCACAGCAACTACAAACCCAAAGAACACAAAGGAAATTAACATATACGAGAAAGTTAAAGGTCATTTGTTTTATGCACCTTCACTATGTGGAATCCACTATTGAAGGATTTAATAAATTGAAATCCTCAGACTTGGACCAAAGTGAAAAAAAGGGGAGATGGTCATATATGAAATATGTAAGCATTAGGAAGTAACAAAAAGCATTAAGTTGAATGGCAAAGACCAAATGTTCATTAGAGTCTGAAGGTGAGAGAGGTTAGAGTAATTATGGAGGAGATAGAACTTGGGTAGGGTCCTAGAGCACTGGAGGGACTGCACTTTTGGAAAAGATCAGAATGAGCAGCCTTTTAGACCGGGGAAGCATGACCACAGAATGGCTTGGCAGCAGGAGGGAGCCTGAGCTGAAAGGGGAAGTTGAGAGAGAAGGTTAAGATAGTAAGACAGAGAGCTTCTGGAAAGGTAAACCTAAGGCACTGCGTCTCTACCTCCCGCTTCCACAACCATGCCACCTCTCTATTCCTGCTGAGCCCAGAGGCAGCTCCAGTTCTCTCTCAATCCATTGCTCAATGAGCCGTTTTGAATCAGGAGTTTATTCTCTAGGACACCATTGTAAGTTTTTGACTGGTGAATTTTTGATTATACAGATTTTTCTGATCTCATAGTTGTAGATGACTGATAGAAGGGAGGATCCCAAATGTGTAAGCCAGAAAATGTTGAAATTCCCTTTTATATGTAAGTTGTAATTTTATGTCAGTTTCCTTTCATATCTAAATTATATGTTTATATGTAAGTTGAAATTTCCTTTTATATATAAGGTGTTGAGAGGTTACATGCTTCAGCTGTTAGTTTGAAAAATATAAGGCATATTTACGTTAAATTTACATTGATTTTTATCTCCAAAAGAAACAATGCCAATGCACACCAAATGCCATAAATTAGAATGTCATGCTGAAAAGTATTGTTTCACATTTCATTTTTCTTCCTTAGGATGTGACTGACCTCAGACACAGGAATTCAGACATCTTACTGCCTGCCTCTTTGCCATTAAGAAAACAGATACTGGCTCCCCAAACCCACGATTAAGAAAGAAGCTGGAAGAACTCTCAGAATAGTTTTCAAGATCATGAGTGCCCTTGCCAAAACTCAGTGGAAAAGTCTCTAGAGAAACAGAGGTCATAGAAGTTTAAAGGTTTGGTTATTTTTTAAAGTTTTTTACTACCTTCCCAGTAAATATTGCCTTAATTCTTCATTCTTACTAGCAGATTGTCATTTAGCACCCAATAATTCTCTTATTAAAGCCTAGAGAGAGAGTTATTATTTTCAGGGATGGGTAAATTTAACTGCCTTGCTCTCTTTCACAATTTTGCAAAGTAGCTCAGGGATCAAAGCTCTTCTCATTTTCCCCCCGAATATATTCCTCTTTTATTGTACAACATAAAACCTTAACTACTGAGAATCAAATGTACCATAAGAGAAAAATACCTCATGGCAAAGTAATTGCAGAGTGGAAACAACCCTAGGTGTAAGCTATAGGCTTGGTTCTATGAAGGAGTGACTAATTTTTTGACTCTCAAAAAGCTTTTTAACCTCTGTCTTCTCTTAAATTAATAAATGTGAATAAAGGATTTTTTTCTCTATATAAGACTGCTATCGGGATGAAATGAGATGACAGATTTTGAGAGTGGTTTTCAAATATGTTTCTTAGAGGAACGTAAGAAATTCTTCTCTGTTATTCTAATTTACAGTTTCCCTTATGTACCCTTATGATCAAGAAATCTAAATGCCAGTGTTGGAAATATTTTCCTAATGTAACGACATAGTTTCATGATGTTATTTTCAGTGGACTGCACATGTTAGTGCCCCAATTGTCTTTACAGTGATATGCCAGCCAGCAGACCAATGATATTCTGCATGGTTGATTCTTCATCTTCACTCATTCATTTAACAAATATTTATTGAATGTCTACTATGTGCCAGGCATTGATTTATGTACTGAAACTATTGCATATAGATGATGTGTCTTCTTTCCTGTAGCTTATACTCTAGTTAGAAAAGACATAAACAAGTAAATAAGCAGTATGCCAGGTGATTTTAAGTGTAATAAAGAAAAATAAAGCAGGAAAGGAGACTATTAAGCAGGAGTCAGCAAACTATGGCCAACTGACCGCGTCTGGCCTGCTGCCTGGTTTTGTAAATAAAGCTTTACTGAAACATAGCCTCAACCATTTATTTATATTTTTCTCATTAGCTGCTTTAAGTTAAATAGTTAAGACACAGACCTGATCCACAAAGCCTAAAATATTTATCCTATAGCCCTTTACAAACAAATTTAAGGTTCTCAATGTTGGCCATTGAAGGCTTTTTCAAGGACTTTGGCTTTTATGTTGAGTGAAATGTAATGACAATGGTGGCAGTAACTTACTCTAACTTATGTTTTAGAAGTATTACCCTGGTTGCTGTGATGGGAATAGACTCAGGAACTAGGGTGGAAGCTCAGGACAGCTTTGAATGTGGCCCAATACAAATTCATAAACTTTCTTAAAATATTATGAGATTTTTTGGTGATTTTTTTAGCTTATCAGCTATCATTAGCGTTAATGTATTTTATGTGTGGCCCAAGACAAATCTTTTTCTTCCAATGTGGCCGAGAGAAGTCAAAAGAATGGGCACCCCTGGTTTAGAGAGCGATTACAGTGATACAGAGGAGGGAGATCATCATAGAGTAGTAAAGATAAGAACGAGGTAATAAGATTGGTTCCTGGATGTATTTTTGAAGTTAACACAGTAAAGGATTATGGCTTAAAGAGCTAGAAAGATAGAATTTCCATCAATTGAAGTGGGGTGGCCACTAGAGAAGCATGTTTGGGATGGAAATTAGCAGTTTGGTTTGCACATAGTAGTTCTGAGATGTCATGTGGCCATTGAACTAGACATGCCGACAAAGGCAGGAGACTATGTAAGCTCAGAATTCAGGGGTGGGGTCTAGGCTGGACATAAAAATCTCATAGTTACCAACATATAGGTGAGGCTTAATGTTATTAGATAGAACAAAATCATCAAGAGAGCATTTTTTATTTTTGCTCCATTCCATTTGTCAGTTAATGCTCAAATTGTTTATTAGCTGGACTGTTTCTGTAGACAGAGTTTTTGATTGTAGTGCACAAGCTTTTTGCCTGTTTCTTGATAGGTTTTTTGAGTCATTGTCCTGATCTTACTTTTAGCTTGAAGTAAGTAGGAAATTTTGTAAGAGAATTTTATAAGTTAAAAATGATACTTTGGGCCTAGTTTTGAAAAACAAAAATCCTGTAAAATGTGTTTTTGCTTCAAGAAATCAGAATCATGTTACCCAGGCACATTTTTTCTTGGAATGAGTAAAGTGAAGAGGATAAGTTACATTTATTAAATACCTACTAGGTTCCAGTGATTTTACAAACAATTGTTCATTCCAGGGCTTTGTTTTTGAATTTGCAAAATTGAGATGGAGTTACTCTAATATTTCTACCATTTTTTTGCTTCCAGATGGAAAATCAATAATTCTGTCTTTTGCTACTTCAACATCTCTCATATCAGAGAAAAATTGAAAATAAAATTCCAAATTAGTGCAAACATATTCTTGACTTTCATGAGTTCACTTTCAGGTCACTTCTAAATCCGCGTTCTATTTATTGGGACAGGTTGGTTCATTCCACTAATTGGTGTTCTCTTTCTAAGGCTTAATAAAATTCCACAAAGCATCAACCTGAAGAATCCAAGCCAAAAAAGCTCATCATCACTGGTCATTAGAGAAATGTAAATCAAAACCACAATGAGATACCATCTCACTCCAGTTAGAATGGCAATTATTAAAAAGTTAGGAAACAACAGATGCTGGTGAGGCTGTGGAGAAATAGGAATGCTTTTACACTGTTGGTTGGAGTATAAATTAGTTCAACCATTGTGGAAGACAGTGTGGTGATTCCTCAAGGATCTAGAGCCAGAAATACCATTTGATCCAAAAATCCTATTACTGGGTATATACCCAAAGTATTATAAATCATTCTGTTATAAAGACACATGTACACATATGTTTATTGCAGCATTATTTACAATACCAAAGACTTGGAACCAACCCAAACGCCCATCAGTGATAGACTGGATAAAGAAAACATGGCACATATATACCACGGAATACTGTGCAGCCACAAAAAAGAATGAGTTAATGTCTTTTGCGGGGATATGGATGAAGCTGGAAGCCATCATTCTCAGCAAACTAACACAGGAGCAGAAAACCAAACATTGCATGTTCTCACTCATAAATGGAAGTTGAACAGTGAGAACATATGAACACAGGGAAGGGAACATCACACACTGGGGCCTGTAATGGGTGGCTGGGGGGCAAGGGGAGAGATAGCATTAGGAGAAATACCTAATACATGGGGGGCTTAAAGCCTAGATGATGGGTTGATAGGTGAAGAAAACCACCATGGCATGTGTGTACCTATGTAACAAACCTGCATGTTCTGTACATGTATCCCAGAACATAAAGTAAAATCAAATAACCAAAAACATTGGCAGAACCCAAAAAAGTAGGCCTATTTGTGGCCATGGACTATGCAAGAATGGAGAACACACTGTCAATTTTTCAGCTCTCTTGATGAAAATACACATAGTTGAGAATATAAAGAAATGCAATCTGTTCATGGATCATCAATCTGGAAACACTCCTTATTACCCAGAGCCAGGTTTCTCTGGCACCACTGGCACTCTGGGCCAGAAAATTTTTTCTTTAGGGTGCTGTGCAATATAGGATGTTTATTTAGCAACATCTTTGGTCTCTACCCCTACGTGCCACAAGCAAACCTCTCTCATCTAGTTGTGTCAGGCAAAAATATCTCCAGAGATTGCCAATGCTTTCTGGGGGTGGGGGTTGGGGGTGGGAAGAGTTGATAACCTAGAGGGTAAGTTCTATTTCTTTAGTGTATCATTGAAAATCCTCTATGGTTTAACCTCAAACTTTTCAAAACGGTCCCCGTAAAAAGTCTACCTTAAGATGCCTAGTCAACTCACTATTCTCTCTAAAAGTTTTGCTTCTTCTGGAGTTAATGTCTTTGTAAATGCACCTCCCTCTGCCTTTGGAATTTCATTTTTTTCTTTTAGCCAAGTGCCATCAATACTTATAAAACCTGACAAAATCTTTTGAGCTTCATGAAATCCTAACATCAAGTCATAAAATTTGGACTGGGGCTAGTCTAGTTCTCATTTTACAGCTGAAGACAATAAGGCCAGAGGGGACACTGCTTGCCAAGGTCATAGAGGTTATGCTGAGAGTGGGGAGTACAGGCCCAAAACTCTGCCTCTGAATCTTCTGTGCTTTCTTTCATGCCTGCTTCCCAGATGTTTTTGGTCTAATTTTACTTTCAACTTTCTCTTCAAAATTTTGTTCTTATCATTCATTTTAGTAATGAGAGTCCTGCCTGTAGTAAACATAAACGTGTCATTGAATATGTGTGAGGTACAAGGTTACATACAGAGACAAAACAGAAGAAAATAGTCAACTTCATAGGTTTATCACAATCAGTAGTAAGAATCTTATATTTATGGAGAAGGACTTTTTAAAACTCATTAATTTATTCAAGAAAAATTTCTTACATCAGCACCGTCCAATGGAAATATGAGATATACATGCAAATATAATAGTTTCTATTAGCCACATTAAACAATTTAAAAAGGTGAATTTAATTTAATTAACATATATGATTTAGTCCATTACATCCAAAATGTTATCATTTCCACATGTAATCACCATGAAAATGATGAAAGAGGTATTGTACATTCTTTTATCTATATCAAGCCTTTACAATCTGGTGTGTATTTTGTTCTTACACACCTCTCAGCACAGAGCAGACATATTTCAATGCTCAGTGTGCTAGTGGCTGCCGACTTGCATAGCATGACCTAACATCTATTTTTCTATCTCATGGATGCTGTTGTGTTTAAACTGCTTTATCATTAAAACCAAACCCAGTCTTCTCCCCATACACCTGCTTCTCCTAGTTCCCCATCTGGACTAAGGCCAGCAGCATCCATTTGAGCCAGAGGCCCCTGCAGCATCTTGGCTTGGTCCCCATCTTGGGTTTTGTTCATACACCCACATCCAAAAGATCTTCAACCTCTGTCAATTTTGACACATAGTTTCTCAAATGACTTCTT